CGAAAATTTCGTCCGTTTTGCTCTATCTTGCACCGTTTCGGCGCTATGGGCCATCTCTGGACAAAAATGTGGTGAAAATAACCAAATGGTCTATTAAACCGTAAAAAAGGCTTTATATCAAAAAAATGTGTATACGCTCCTATTCACTCGTCTCAAGTGTCAGCGCCGCAGGCCTAGCTATATGTGCGCCAGGCGCGTCGCAGCGTAACAGTGTTTCGTGAGATATCGCGAAGCCTGTTACGCGAGACGTGGTCTGGCGTACATATAGCTAGTATAGAAGAGTGACTCATCGGCTCTGAGTCACTGTTCTATACTATTACCGACATTTCAGGTGGAACTCGTGAAATTGACGTGTTTGGCGATGAAAGCTCTGACGTCATACGTGAAGTGGCACCACGTGAAGTACTTTTCACAAAACAAAGTTTGCTGTATCGAACCCCTGGGAAAGTGCGAATTTCCACTTGAAAGACCGAAATAACCGGCGGGTTTATTGAGCGGGAACGATTAACTAATAATTTATCAATCGGTTTGCTTTTGCGTACAGAGCGAAGCAGTTGGGTGGCTGTAGTTCCCACAACGGTATGATCTACTTCCGTGGGACCGAGGACGACTACCGTTGCTGGGAGAGCAAAGGTGCCAGAGGCTGGAGTTACAAGGATGTGCTGCCTTTCTTTAAGAAGTCGGAGAACTGCCTCGACCCCGACTTGGCAAGGGATAAGGTCCATCATAGTACAGGCGGGCCACTAGCAATCCAGCGTATGCCATACAAGGATGTAAACACGAATCTCTTGCTCAGAGTATACGGGGTAAGTCTTCTTTTAGTGATTGTTTTGCCAACGGCTGCTCGGTGTGGCAGTAATGGTCCTTGATGGCTCCACGCCACAGCAGGGCCCTTTAAAGTAGTGGTCAAAACTCAAATTTTGTCCGATTGACTGTCTTGCACCGTTCGGGCGCTAGAGCTTTTTTTCGACGAAAATGCGATGAAAATGACCACGTTGCACATAAAGACGTACAAGGAGGCGTACAATCGTAAAATCTGTGGCATGTGTGTAGACTGTCGTAAGTTGTTTTGACTCAGTGATACGTTTACCTCATTTCCAACAACTAAGAGGTATAAAGTTTTAAAATCTCTCAATTGGAGGCAGAGACCTTTTAAAATAACACCCAATAACAAGCAAGCTTCAACAGCCTAAAAACACTTCCGACATTGTTGGCTGAGTGAAAACTAAAATATAGTATACTCTAATGTACTATACTATACGAGAGAACGAAGCCACCATGTAGAGACGAAAAGTTTGGTAAACAGGTTGCTGCCAACCTAACAGTGAATACAAAAAAAAATGTGTTGAAACAAATGCAGTTTTATTCGTCTGAGTTTGCTCAACTAACGCTAACACTTCATCTAAAGGTTTAGTCAAAGCCCTTTTAAAGTGATTGGTTCAGTTTTGAGGAGATTTAAAATATTAAGATTTTTCAAATAAAATTTCCATTTTGATGTGTTGGTACATTTCGTTCTGCGGGGTCGAGTACCGGCGTCTGCTAGCATTTCAAATGCATTTTAGCAGTTTGAAGGGAAATTACATGAAGTGAAGATTTAATTAACGAGGAAAATAAGAATAAGAAGTAAGAATAATGTACAAGTTACGACGTCACTGAACAACCTAATTCAAGTGATCATGTTAGGTTTGGTAGGAGACTGTTGAAATACAAACTGTCAGTTTGTTAGAAAGTAGTAGACATTCATGTAGCGTTTGATTTTGAACCTTTTCAGTTGTTAATCTAAATGACATGTGGATAACGATAATTTGCAAGATGCCATTGTGATAGATTAATAGTGACATTTTATTTTGAGTAAAACGTGATCACGTTTTAGTTGATCGAGGTTTTAACCAGATTCAAGATTCACATTCGTGACAGTAATTCATTCAGTATAAATTTCCCTTTTATGCAGTCACAAGCTGACAGTTGTTGACATACAATGTGGTTTGTCGTTATGTTATAGGTTTTGGTTTTTTGATTACGTTGATCAATGACATCTAGCATTGAGTTATCCAATTAAAGTTTGTGTTTCATTCTGAATTTTAATTTGCATCAATGAATTCACCCTTTTATGAAGAAACAAAAATTATAAGGAATTTCAATAGCCTTATTTTGGGGAAGGATCTTCAAGAACAAGAACATACGATATATGTCAGACTTGATTTACAGTTGCTTATTTTTGATTAGAATCCATTAAATTTTCTGCATCGTTCATTATGAATCTTAATTGGCATCCAGCGAATTCACCCTTTTATTTACACTATCGTTTCTGATTTTCTGTATAGAGTTAGGTTTTGTTAGTTTGGGTTTGCTCCATTTTCCTTTTACATTTACTGTATCGTTTCTGATTTTCTGTATTGAGTTAGGTTTTGTTAGTATAGGTTTGCTCCATTTTCCTTTTACATTTACTGATCGTTTCTGATTTTCTGTATCAAAGGTTTTGTTAGTTTAGGTTTGCGTCATTTTTCTTCTTCATTTACTGTATCGTTTCTGATTTTCTGTATTGGGTTAGGTTTTGTTTGTTTAGGTTTGCTTCATTTTTCTTTTATATTTACTTTATTATTTTTGATTTTCCGTCTTGACCTTTTACTGAGTTATTCCAAAGTATTTAAAATGCTTCTGACAATGGATGTCAAAATTACATTGAGAGTGAGGTCAATGACAAGATGTGGCCATGGACATGAGCCCACTATAACTTTGCTATAATGTCACAATGAAAAAAAAATTCTTTGGTAAATGACATGCTTTGCTAAGGTGTCCAATCCAATTTGATCACATCTATTCCAGTCACCATATCGGTTTCGTGCTATGTTGACAAAATCCCTACGAAGTGACTATTCACAGTTCTGTTTCTAACAAAGATATCAATGCTGATCGATCAAATATATGCAGTCGGCGCAGCCGTCGAATCGAATCGGTTCTACCTAGTATAAATCAGGAAACACACTCAGCCTTTAATGCACAGCATTCTACTAGTAATTCAAAGTATGATTTGTGGTTAGTGGTGGATTTGTCGTTAGTCAACTTACGACGAATGAAATATCTGTGGATTTAGGGGAAGAGTGTAGTAAGACAAATTTACCACAAAATAAGCCACAAGACTTATTTCTCAGCGAAGAAAAACGAGTTCAGCATTACTAAATGCAAATTCCTAGTGAAGCAGACTTACACTTTCAATAAGTAGAATCGAAGACAGGCAATGTCACCGAAACAATGACAATGAACGTAAATTCTAGAAATGTGTGTACAAACAACAACACAATGTCGTCCGCCTGTTTCGGGCTGGTTCGCACTGCGGATAAGAAGAAATCGTGCATGTAGCGTTGTGGACTGTTTTGAATTTTTTGTGTAAAGCGTCGCGACAAGCAGAAGACAGTCTAGTTTGTTTTGTTTTCCATTCTGAGTGTGATTCATTCAATTTGCAATTTGTGGTACTAGCAATACAATAGAAAATAACTTCAGTCTCTTTGAGAGTATGACAACGGTGCTTCGGCAAAGGAGACATCAAAGGCGTTGTTCCCTTGCCGAGAGAGTGCGAAAATGTGGATAATCTCCGTCCGACGAATCGTGAATGATAATGTCAAAACATCTGGAGAGGTTACCCTTCCAGCCATGCCTTGGTCGGCATGTCCCTTCGCTGTGACTTCTAAGCTAACTAAAGATTTTGCTATCAACAAAGACGAGCAGAGGTAAATCACCTTGCAGTATTACTACAGAAAAGGCGTTGCATCACTTCCTTTTTTGGCTGCAGGACAGTATGTTGTTCTATGGAATGCCGTAATCCATATCTCCATAGAATTAGTTTAGTGTGCAAAGGGTCGTAAGTTTACTTATGACTTGTAACTTTCTATTGGTAATGTGTCATAGTGCCGTAAGTTGACATACGACATTTGGTATCACAAAGTTTTTAAGCCAAGTGACGCAAGTGGACTTACGACAGTCTACCCATGCAACAAGCCTGAATTTTGAACTTACGACAGTCACCCTCATGTACCTGCCTTACTATAGGTCCCAGAAAATTATTCAGAAAACAAAAACTGTAGAGTTTGACTTGTTTCATATGAGTTCATTGAAAAGTCACTTTGTGACGTAAATAGACTTACGACAGCCTGCACATTTGCCACAGAAATGTCAAAGGAAGTAACCCCTCTAAAAACGGATTCTAAATCAGAGACTACCCTCGGATTTGCCGTGTCTTCCTCTGTATCACACCAAAAGGTGGATATATTTAAAACAATGGCAAAATGTGTTAAGGCTGTTTGACAAACAAAACAATCTAAAAGCTGCGCTAGTTATTTTTTTTTTATTTTTTTTAAGAAAAGCAGAAGGGTCAAGAACGCCGCAGCCCAAGATAGATGTATGCTACAGGGATGGAAATGGTAATGGAATTATATAGTATCGTCCTTTTGGCTCCTGTTTAAAAGATAAGGGCCTCGATCAACTTTCGACACCGTGTTCTCGAAAGATTAGACTAGCTATATGTACGCCAGACCACGTCTCGCGTAACAGGCTTTGTGATGTCTCACGAAACATTCTTACGCGAAATTTTCGCCCGTAGGGCTCTACTTTGACGGTTTACCCCTTAGGAACACATAAAAAAATATTTGATAAAGATACACTTTGCGACCTGAAGATTTTGATTTTTAAAAAAGCCAATTTTTGAGCTAGAATGCTCATCTTCGAACTCGATCTGTCTTTTTATGACACAAAACGACCCTGAAAATTTCAGGTCGCTAGCTCAATAGGGTGTTCCAGGCAATCTAAAACGGAAGTAGGAAAAGAACAAACTCACTGACCTCTCTGTTTCCGCAATGGCCCTGATTGGTCGAGCTTATCACGTGCCTCCGAGGCCTTTCAGGTATGAGAAACTGTCAGATCAGTTTCGAGCTCCCCTCCATATTTTAGAGGTTAGGATCGGACCAAACTGCCATAGTAGTTTCTCATACTGGGCGGACGGAGACAGATAAATCAGTGGGTTTGTTCTTTTTCACTTCCGTTTTAGATAGCCTGGAACACCCTATTCGTTCTCGAGTTATCGTGCGGACAGACAGACAAACACACAGAATGAAACTTTTTCGGTCAGTGGAGTAATGGGCTTCGCTAATAGCTCAGCCAAACAGGTTTCATCCCATCCAAACGGTGTTGCCGACAAAATTTGCTTTTTTGAAGGTATGTGGCCACTTTTTCGCAAGATATTATATTAGAGTGTCAGTATTTTAGTTCCTTAGATAAAAGTTGCCACAACTCATAGGTTTAGGTCATAGTGCGAACAATGGTGATGGAACAGGATGAAATCGGATGAAATCTTTTCTGCTCAACTTATACACGGTGTCGAAAGTTTATTCAAGGCCCATAGCTTTTGAACAGGAGCCCAACAAAATGATAATATAATTTCATTGGCTGAGCGATTAGCGAAGCCTATTACTCCAGTGATGGTCAGAAAGTTTCGCGTCTGTTTGTTTGTTTGTCTGTCTGTGTCTGTTTGTCTGTCTTCACGATAACTCGAGAACGAATAGAGCTAGCGACCTGGGATTTTTAAGGTCGTTTTGCGTCATAAAAAGACAGATCGAGTTCGAAGAAGAGCATTCTAGCTCGAAAATTGGATTTAAAAAAAAAATCAAAAGCCACAGGTCCCCAAAATGACGTTTTTTTGAAAAAAAAAATTACTGTTTCCTAAGGGGTAACTCATCAAAGTAGAGCCCTGTGAGCAAAAATATTGTCCATTTGCCTCTATCTTCAACCGTCTAGGCACCAGAGGGAGTTTTCT